TCAATATCTTTTAAACAGCGAGGTTTACGAAAAAAATATAAGAGACCTTTTTTGTAGAGCGTTAAATTTCCTACAAGTATATGGGGAGAGATATTTTTAACGAACAGTTGATAGAGGGATATGATTTTTTTTTTCTAATACTGAGGAAAAAATGGAAAACTGTAAAGCGGAGGACCTTCCTATTAAAATTAAGACCTCATATTTGGAGAGAATTTTCTAGAAGTGTCTAGCAACCTATTTTTCAGAGTATAAAGTAAAAAAAAATAGTCGATTTTTTTGACCCACCCTAACTGATGTATACTTTTATCCTATTCCATTCTGCATGTTCCGCAGATATCAAACAAACCCATCAAGTTTGTCATTAAATATATTCCATCATTAGCACTGTGTTATTCTTTAGAAAGTACTTTTGATTTTTTGAATTAATGTCCAACAATGTCAATATCATTCTCTAACATCTAAATTGCTGTAGGCATTAAATATTTCTACGACACTCCACGTAAATACAGGGTGAACCTTAAATGTGTAAATATTTTATTACATGCATATGCTTTATTTACTTTAGAATACGAGATTTTAAAAAGGCGAAATAAACTCCTGGACAAAATTGAGGTAAATTTTAATGAAAACTTACAAATATGAGCTTATACAATCACTGATAAAGAAATTTGCCAAACATGACTTATTTAAAATTATTAAACATTTCTTTTGTTGAAAATGAATTAGATGTATGTTTGTATGTTTACAGAGATTTATTGCTCTATTCTCATTACCATTTTATCGGGGAACACACGCAGGCGGAAGGTGTTGAGCGACCCAGGTCTCTGGTAGGCCGCCACAGCCACATCCCGAGCATGCCTTAGGTCACTCATCCAAGTTCCAGCCTGCGTCCGTGATGCTTACCTCGGCCGATCGAAATCCATCGGCCAAGACGCCCGGCTAGGCGATCCCCAAATGAATTAGATATTAAAATGATAATCAAAACAAAAAACATTTAAGAAATCGAAAATAATGGATCCAATGTGGTCCTCCTTTGCTCCTAATTACCGCATTCAAACACCTTGTCATGATACCAATTAAATTTTCAATGATGTCCTGGGGAATATTCTCCCTTTCTTCAGTTACAGTAGCCACTAGTTGATTGTGGGACTCTACGACCTCGGACCTTCTTTCTAAGATGGCCCCATAAATGCTCAATAGGGTTGAGATCGGGACTGTAAGGTGGCCATTCCATTAATGGAATATTAACAGCATTCAGGTAGTCAATAACCTGTCCAGCTAGGTGGAGACTCACATTGTCTCGTATTACGTGTTCAAGTGCGATGTTTTCCAGGTAATGATTTGCATTGATAGATCCTACGTATAGGGACCAACTCTGCACGAGCGCCGTAGCAGATGCCCCCCCAAAACTAGAGTCCCTAGAATAACACCCGAAACATTACAGAGCTGCCACCATACGGGACCTTTGTAGAAATGTTACGACTTGCAAATCTCTCTCCATTTCTTTGCTAGATACGCTCACGTCCATCGGGAAATTTTAAGCTAATCTTCGTTTCGTCAGAGAAACCTTCTTCCAATCATTAACTGACCAGTATCGATGACTTTATTGTCTTATTCTTTTCTTGGAATTCTATCTTAGTAAATATTGTATGGACTATACGTATTTCATTCGACACAGAATCGTTTGAATACTTTTCACGTGACTTTTTCGGCAGTAAATTCAGTTGATTTTAATCGTTCTTTATAAAATAGATTCGATAATCAAAACCTCAAAAATAATTTAGTGTACATGTTACATAAATAGATACTGAAAATCTTATAAATTAAAATGTGTCCCATATGGTAGCAATCTTTTTACTGCTGATCCAGTCATACCCACACGTTCCTTCAATGTCAATTGGTTCCACCTTCAACACCTCCAAGCGTGCCAAATTTAGAGGCAAAAGATAAATTTCTCCAATGCGGTCGATAGATTTCACAAACGACCATTAAAACCAAATATGAATTCATTGTGTTACACGACACAGTGGTCAACAAAGCAAAGCTGGTACGCATTTGGGTATGCCACACGCGTACTATGACCGCCCTAGACTCGTAAAAGGTGTTCCCTTAGGAGAGCCGTTCCATTAGAAACAATGCAAGGTCGCCGGGTACATCGCGCTCGTTTTTAGACGTAATGGGATGATTAATATGCGCGAGGTATAATTTTATTTGTGTATAACCGTGTAGTTAATAATTCGACGCAACTTTACATGAATAAAGATAAGTGTTAATCCTTAGTTATTTGCTTTCTGATAGTTGTGTTTGCGGTGAGCACGCTTTATTTACGTCTTTGGGTGTTTTCGTCTTATTTTTACTGTTAATGTATGTGCTTCATAATACAATAATAAAAATACCTTGTTTTACAAATACTTGCGTCATAAAATTAACTGCAGTGTGTAGACTATTGATGTAAAGTTTATGATTATTTTATTTAAAATACTAAACTGAGCATCAATGTATTTCGCTGAAAAATGCGTACACACCTGAAAATGTTCAAAAGAAAATGATTTCATTGGATAAACGTCATTTTTCATGCACAAATGACAGTTCTTAACACAATGCATATGTTTTATGAGCTACCAAAAAATAAATGTTGTGTTAAATCATTCCAGACAAAATCCATACTTTGCTTCAAAAGTTCTTGTTTATGGATGAGGCAATTCTTACCGATGATCAGATTAGGATACGATTGAAATTTGATTCAGCATTTTCAACATAAATTTAAAATGAATACTTGATTTGGAATAGTTGACGTTCATTTAATTCGCCCAATTGAACTTCTAGATAGACTTAAGGCATAACGCTTTTCGAACTTTCCTCGTAACGGTTTATTCCGGTTATTAAATGTACCACTAAATATTCGTAATAACATAATATGGTATTTAGGTACATGATGGAGCATCGCCTCATCTGATAGAAGTTTGGAATCATTTGAAAACCGTTTTTTTCTCAGCCGATAATATAGATGAGGCAGCAACAATCCATGGCCACCTCTTAGTCCGGATTTAAATCCAATGAACTTTCAATTTTGGAGCAACATCAAATACCTTTTGCATACAGGAATCGTAATTAATACTAAGAACGAGTTATGGCAAAGGATTATGACAGATGTAGATGCAGTACGAAACTTGCCTCCCAACTTTTTCAACGTAAAGAGAAACTTTTTAAAACGATGTAGAAAATGCATTGAAATAAATGGTAATAACTTTGAATATTTACTCAAACATGAACATTAAATAAATGGTCCCAACAATAATTCCTATTAATCAGCACGTAATACTATTTTCTTACTCCTATTATTCATAGTTTTGATTAATATTTAATCGTGGTTTCGTAAATTCTGATATTTTAGTTTGTTTAATTTTTGTAACCTGTTTTTTAAATTTTATTGTTTTATTATAATTTCCCCGTTTTAGTTGCAAAAATATATTTTTTAAATAAAATTGTAAATTCAACACTCGACTAAGAATTTTTTTTTCGTAGAACAGTATGAAGAACCAATTTTTAATATCAGAAATCACATACTATGAGAACGTAGGGCAACGGAATACTCCCTTAGACCAAAAATTTTGTCCAATTATCTACTGTGTGTCAAAAAAATATGAAGAAACAACGACTTTTTTTCGTCTTTGACCCCCTGTATGTTTGTTATTATACCTTTCCATTAAGATGGTGATCGGCCTATTTTGACTCTAGGAATCTCCCATTACTGTATTGCCCATTCTTATAAAATACGCTGTATATGAGCAGAACTTGTCCAAAAGTTCACTCAAAGAAAAAATCATTTTTATCTCTTCTGCAAAATATACCATTTTCATGAAGATAATGGAATAGGATTGAAAATTTTCCTAGTATGATTTTCATGGTATATGACTTTTAAAACGTGCAAAACAATACTCATATGCTCAAAATTCAAGATATCAAAAATCAGTACAGTTAATTTATCTAGAAATAAAATTCAGTACACCCTGAGGCCGTTTTAATTTGTGATTTCCAAACAGCATCCACTTTATCCAGTAATTTTGAGTTTTTCCGCAAAAATTAAATAGATTTTAATTTTGTGTAAAATGGTCTGACATGAACTACAGTGAGAATAGCCTTTTTAAGAGAGTTTTTGAAAGTACAAAATTCTAAGAACATAGGGTAAATATGTTTTATCTATGCCATAACTTCGGAAGGTTTTCCCTTGGACCACTATTTGACTTTAAACCATTGTGGGGCTTTTAAGTCTAAAATAATGATTAGAGGGACAAAGTCCTAAAATTACGACATAGTCTTAGAACACGCCCTGTATAGCTACAATCAATAATTACTGAGAGTGAAACGAGGGATTTTCTCGAAAAATAAGCGCCTAGGTATGATTGCGAAAAACTAAAGGTCAAATTCGTGTTCAGAGGCTCCTATAATGGGAGGCAAACGGAACTAGCAAAGACTAACATCTTTTTAACTATAATCCTATGTTTTGTTTATCTGACTTGAATACATTATTCACTGACCAAGTTGAAGCATCATTTTTAAATAAGAAGTTAGGTATGTGAGAAATTAATGTAACGTAGAAAAACTAGTAATAAGTTTTCGAATTTTATTTTTCTGTTTAATCTGTATTAACTGTAGATCTGATTCTGATATATTTTTAATAAATTGCTGCGAATAATTATAAATTTGTTCCATTACACAACTACTTAAGATTGAAATTACCAGCATTTATTTTGATTTTGGTCTTTTCTGTCAGCAGATACACTCATAATCAAAAATGCCATGGAAACGAATGAATATCACCATGTTATCTCGAAAACAAATGTAAAGTACCAATCTTCAGTTTCGACAGTTGAATGTGTGGAGCTAGTTATTCAGATTTTTTGTAGGTTTTGAACTGGATTGTCTAGTTCTAGTCTGTCCACCTTGTCCAAATTTCCCGATACATTTCGAATTTTTTAACAGAAATTAGGCATACTTACTTGGAGGCAGCCGCACCAGCCGCGCTTGGTACGCACGGCCGGCATGGCTGGGATGTGCAGTCGAGGCAGGGCGTTGGTTATGTCGTCCCAGGCAGGAAGCTTTAAGGAGCACTTGGGCAGGCCCTGCAACAAGACAAAGACTCGTAAAAATGACGAACCACAAATATTACTATATCGTTAAATACCCCCGCACAAAGTGCAAGTATCAAAACAACAAAGTGTTAACAAGAATAGTAACCATTTTTTTTTAATTAGAAAGATATTACATAATATATGAGTGTCTCAGAAAATTGACACAAGGGTCTAATTGAAAGGCGAATATACAAAATATGGCTATCTTAAAGACTACAGTTCCTATCTTTTTAAAGATTGTATTATATTTTTCTATACCCTCAGCTTTTCTTGAAACAATATTTTAACAGTTCACCATGATGATGTAATGATTGCGATGGCATCCATGTAATTTTAACACATCCGCGGGATATCCTAGAACATGTTGCTTATTATTATACGAAACGTTCACTGCTTCGTACAAGCCTTTGTTGCTTTGATTTCACGAATTATAGATGCGGATAAAATTATATATCCTACTTGCCTTTTCGGAGAGGATGTTCTAACGGTTAGAGAGTACCTAACATAAAACTAGTTACATTGCCGCTGTCAGATCAAAATCAAAAGGCAATTAAATTATAGGAGATCTATAAAGGGATACTGTTTTAAACATACTATTACTTACATTCTTAAAGCAAAACTAGCAATTTTAAATGTACAGGGTGTTCCAATTATTAAGACTGGCCAGGCCTATCGACTGGATCTGAGCGGAGAAAAATTAGAATAAATAGAAAAATTTGAACTTTACAGTCTACAATATAAAGGGTTCTAGTCAAAATAAATTTTTACGCGAAGTCTGTTCAGTCAGACAAATGCCAGCTAAATGAAAATGTCCACCATTGGCAGCAATACAAGCGACAAGCCTTCACCTCAACGTCTGTCATACATTTTTGAAAATTGCTGGCATTTGTCTGACGTGCTGACATTCATTTATGATTCCTTATCTTAAATCTTCTTCATTTTCTATTGGTGTTTCATTTTTTTAAACTGTTAAATACCTATTAGAAATTATTTTAACACTAAATATGAAAACTCGAAAATGGTTTATTGTGTGAAGAAAATGCAAGTGATCATTTTATTAAAAATATAACAGTAAATTAAACTCGCCTATTAATCTTTTTGGAAATCCAGTGGCGTAGTTTTTCTGAGGGTGTTAGTGACAGAGCACCCCTGAATCTTCGCCACTGGTTGACAGATTTATATAGAAATATACCGAATTATTACATTTAATTAGTTTCATCATTTCCCCAAGTTTCGTCAATCTACGTCAAACACCTTCAGAGAGATAAATGAAAAAATGTGATTTTTCAAAAACATTAACGCCCTCTACTTAGAAACTAGTAACTTTGTGGCCCTGGTTTATTAAGGATTTTGGGCCTAAGATGACCCAAGAAATCACCTCCTTAATTTATGACATTGACTGAGGATACACCCTGTATGTGCCCAGGCAACTCAGGTTAGACATGAACTCTGAATATGTTTGTTTAAGTTAATTTGTAATATAATACAATCAATACTTTAAAAAGAGTCCCTCTAAGGAATTCAAAGAGGGGTCTAAACATAGTCATATCAATTTAAGGTTCACTCTGTATAAATACGCGTTGTGTAGCTATTTATCTTTTTTGAACAAATCCGAAACATTTATCAAGCATTAATAACCGCGATATTTAGACTTTTTTCCTTCGTTACTTATCCGAATGCGACTTATAAATTACTGCTATTTCCCTGCCATATGGCGTGCGGGCACAATGAGATGCCATTCTACATTTCCAATCGCAATTTACGATTGCGATATATTAATATTTTATAACATTACATCGCGTTACTGCGGATACACAAAGAAATGAAAAGGCTGAGAGCGGCGTTATAGAATGCCGAATACGTCATTGTGTTTTATAATTTATAGTTATTTGTCCGCATTACGCTTCATCTGCCGTCGCATTTACGTTATCATTTTCAATTTATAGGTTTATTGTTATTCAAATTATCCGTTCTTCGAAGCACAGTGACATGAATCTAGTAACTTCGTATTAAAATTGAAAATTTACGAAAACACTGTATTTGTACTTACGAAAGAAATGTCGGGTGCCAACATCCTGAAGGACATCCAGGCCGACAAATTAAAACACTCAATCGACATGCTTTCAGACCTTGCAAATCGCTGTATTGAGTCGAAAGGGGAATATTTTGAATAAAATAAATCGGTTCTGCCAAAAAAACTTTTTGTTTTTATTTTTTAAAAGTTCTGTTTTTTTTGGAACGCACCTCGTATATTCTCCTTCTAAGTAAAAAGTAAAAAATGAAGACTCGTGAATATTCCAATACCTACATGAAACGTCATTTTTATTTTTCAAGTATCTTTTATTACTTCCGGCTTTTTTCTGAAATAACATTAATTTGGACTTTCAACGAAAACGGGCTAACATACTGCGATTGCTGATGTTTGTTAAATTAAGAACTACTTTCTGACCTCTAACATTTTCGTCTAGACAATGAACGAACGCAGACATTCCTAAACCACTTTTTTAATGGTAATTTTAATTCATATACCAACAAAGAAACTGCTAAATTGGGAGAGTTTGTAAACCCACTTATGTGGACAATTCAGGTGTGGACGGAACACAAATATACAAATATATAGGGTGGAGATACAAAATAAATGACACAACAAGAGTAACGATCAATATCTGGGAGCTCAGGATGTTTAAAATATGGTCTTAAGTCGAGAGAGTACAATATAAAGACTTTTTACTCGTGTGTCCTACAATACTGACTGCTTTAGTAGAAAATATCAACTAAAAAATTATGCTTTTACAAATTTTACCTTTTTTCATGACATAAATAAAATCAAAATGAAAAAAAGGAAAAAAATTTGAGTCTTATTTTAGCTTATTTTCATTTTGTATAAGTTCGCCGACCTCAAGAATTGTCTAATTGGTCACCAAACTAATCGGTGACCATAAAACTTTTAGGGACATGCACTTATTTCAAAATTTGATTGGTAATGCAACGTTTACCAACAGTTTCTTCGACTGTTTCGTAACGTCCCACCACATAGGTGGCATTTGTGGCTTAAGTGATACTAATAACTGCAATTAAACCTTCAACAGCGTGCAATAAATTACATTTGATGAACGCGAATACCATCTTCGCCTGACGATTTATCAGCAACACACGGAACGAAAGTAACAGCGAGTGAGTTTAAAACATCGTTATGAAGTGAAGAAATCCGTTTTCAAGTGGTTTTCCAGTCCCGTGGCTTCCTAGTTCGTAAGTACGATAACGGATACATAATGCGACGCTCTGTCGGATTCCTCGAGAGATTTTGCCGGTAGTTAGTCGCAAGAAGATGACATTATCTTGTTATAAAGCTTTGGTTTTCTGTTACATACCTATTAGGTGTTTACGCTTTTTATGAATTATTCATATTTATTAATTATTAAATTAATGATTCATCATTTAACAAATTTTAATCAAAAATTTTCCTACAGGTTTTATAAGTTTCAATATTCAATCATCACTATTTCCAAAATTTATTGTTAGTTTCTCCCACGTAAATATTAAACAATGTATAATTATTGGAACAATTATTCGGAGGCCCCCATAAAATAAAATTGCTAAATATTTTACCAATTTGCTTTAGTTGATTGGTTGTCCCATTTTTTGTAAAAAAGCGCAAAGGTTGACCTTGAACTAAGCTCTACTCGTGATGATCGCACATAGTTTTCTTAAGGAAGGAATTATTTTTCCCTGTAAAATAGGTCGTANCTTTTTTTCAAATTTTTGGACGAGCTATCACATCCTGAAGTCCTGCGCATATATTATGAAACACCCTGTATTTTTAATAAATTACTGTGAATAATTATAAATTTGTTCCATTACACAACTACTTAAGATTGAAATTACCAGAATTTATTTTGATTTTGGTCTTTTCTGTCAGCAGATACACTCATAATCAAAAATGCCATGGAAACGAATGAATATCACCATGTTATCTCGAAAACAAATGTAAAGTACCAATCTTCAGTTTCGACAGTTGAATGTGTGGAGCTAGTTATTCAGATTTTTTGTAGGTTTTGAACTGGATTGTCTAGTTCTAGTCTGTCCACCTTGTCCAAATTTCCCGATACATTTCGAATTTTTTAACAGAAATTAGGCATACTTACTTGGAGGCAGCCGCACCAGCCGCGCTTGGTACGCACGGCCGGCATGGCTGGGATGTGCAGTCGAGGCAGGGCGTTGGTTATGTCGTCCCAGGCAGGAAGCTTTAAGGAGCACTTGGGCAGGCCCTGCAACAAGACAAAGACTCGTAAAAATGACGAACCACAAATATTACTATATCGTTAAATACCCCCGCACAAAGTGCAAGTATCAAAACAACAAAGTGTTAACAAGAATAGTAACCATTTTTTTTTAATTAGAAAGATATTACATAATATATGAGTGTCTCAGAAAATTGACACAAGGGTCTAATTGAAAGGCGAATATACAAAATATGGCTATCTTAAAGACTACAGTTCCTATCTTTTTAAAGATTGTATTATATTTTTCTATACCCTCAGCTTTTCTTGAAACAATATTTTAACAGTTCACCATGATGATGTAATGATTGCGATGGCATCCATGTAATTTTAACACATCCGCGGGATATCCTAGAACATGTTGCTTATTATTATACGAAACGTTCACTGCTTCGTACAAGCCTTTGTTGCTTTGATTTCACGAATTATAGATGCGGATAAAATTATATATCCTACTTGCCTTTTCGGAGAGGATGTTCTAACGGTTAGAGAGTACCTAACATAAAACTAGTTACATTGCCGCTGTCAGATCAAAATCAAAAGGCAATTAAATTATAGGAGATCTATAAAGGGATACTGTTTTAAACATACTATTACTTACATTCTTAAAGCAAAACTAGCAATTTTAAATGTACAGGGTGTTCCAATTATTAAGACTGGCCAGGCCTATCGACTGGATCTGAGCGGAGAAAAATTAGAATAAAT